TGTGTGTGTGTGTGTGTGTGTATGTGAAACTCATCCTGAGCATCGTCTCTGTGCTTTATAACAGTGGACGAGTGGCTAAAGAGGTGATGGAGCAGAGTGCCAAAATCAAACGCGAACCTCCAGAAATACACAGGTAGAGTCAGGAGAGATCAGAATACTCTCGATCCGATTTCTGTTTCATTTTCCTCCTTTTGGCACCACGCTACCAGGTGTCTTAATATCAGCAGCACCTACTCGCTACAGTTTGAGTTACCTCCACTCGGGGGTGGTTTTCTCTGTGCGTTGACGTTTGTTGCATGTATGTGTGTGTGTGTTTGTCTGTGCAGGGCTGGCCTCGTGCCCAGCAGAAGTTGTCCATCCATCACCCACGGACCTCGCCTCACCAGTGTGCCGCGCACGCGTCGGAGAGCTGTGCACATATCTATCATGGAGGGTAAGCTCCTCCCTCACGCTTCAGTGATAAATCTCATGGTGGCTGTTAGTGTGTTGGGATAGAAACGTTCTTTTACAAGATGTTAATTTGTCCTTTAGAGGCTGGACAGTGAGAATGCTTGTTTCTACGTCAACCTCATCCACTGACAAGTCATTTACATTGCTACACAAGAGGCACTTGTGATTCCCCTTTTCAGATATCCTCGTAAATAGTATGTTATTGCAGCAGTGATAAACGGTGAAGAAAAGGATATTCTGGACAAACTAGCTCCTTCATCGATAGCATTTTGTCTTTCTCCTTCATCTGCTGGTGTCTGTCCCTCAGTGTCAAAAACCGAACTGAGCCACTTCACCAAAATCACTGGAGTGTCCCTTATAGCCTGTCCTCACTTTATGAGCTGCAGGTTCAGGGCTGAGGCCCAGGACATTATGAGGGACACAACCCATGTCCTCCACACCCAGTTCCACGTGCTCTGTCTCGGGCAGAGTCTTTACCTCCTCAGGTGCTCAGCCAACCAGCAGAAGTAATCTGCCGGGTGAACGAGGCATTACAGGACAACTCTGTGCTCCACCGTACGCTTGAGACATGAATGAAACCTACTCTCAAATGCCATGTGGACTTTTTAATTTTATTCATTCATATCTAGTTATTTAGTTGTTTTTTTAAGTACATTTTTTGCACTTGTTTTTTATATTTAGTATTCTTTTTTAAATTGTATTTCTTTTATGACATTGCGTTTTTAGCTCAGTGTTTAGTACTTTTGAAATGAAGTAATTTTAAAGAATTTGGTATTTTTAAAGAACTTTCATTTTTAGCTCAGTGTTTTAGTATTTTTAAAGAAATTGCAATTAAGCTCAAGTTCCAAATAACTTTTAATTTTTTTTGTGGATGTTTGTTAGTGCATGTCTGGATTTAGTTTTTCTGTCTAAACCAAATTGCCTTAGGACTTAATAAAGTTGCATTGCAGTGAATCACTGTTTGATGCCATATTTCCCATGGATCAGGAGGCCTTAAGTCCCTTTCGTGAGAACTCTTCCCCTTCTTGAGAAAACACACACACACACTCACAAGCTGTAACTGGAGCCATTTGGCTCACTTCATGCTTTCACCATTGGTGGGACATATTGCAGGTGTGTGCGTCACTCAGGCTGCTCCACTTCGATGCAAGCTTTCAGAGCTGTGTGTGTGTGTGTGGTGTGTGTGTGTGTGTGGTGTGTGTGTGTTTCCACAAGTGTTGGTGAGAGTTGTTCCAGTTCAGCAGCAGCTAAAGTCACTTACAACACAGCCCCCTGCCGGCTCCAGGTCCAGAACAGTTGGCGTCAGTGCCTCTGTCTGTGAGACCGTCCCCCATGGTCCTGCAGGTGTTTGTAGACTGAGATCAACAGAGGTCAGTGGCAGCTGTACTGTACGGATTCAGGGTCTTTTGCTGTGGGTTCAGCCATAAGAGCTTCCCACCCCCAGTGTGTGCTGACTGGGTGCCTTACAGTGGTATTAATACCCCAGCTCAATATAGCTTGGGCCTTCTATTCCATGTATGTCTGTGGTCTGGGTGGGGTCAAAACCAGGCCAGACCAATGCTGGTGATTGTAGCACTGCTGCAGAAGACCCACTGTTTCACCTCACGCTCGTCGTGTCCGCTATCCGCTACCAAGGCAGACAGTCTGCAGACTGTGGCCTGGACTCCGGGACAGGGGACCATAACAGCAGGATAAACAAGTGAATGCTGCAGCCATGGTGAAGTGTCTGATCCGTATCACCACCCGGGTGAACGTCCACCTGCGTATGATCAACCACTGCTACCGGGATGTAAAAGTTCGCGTGCTGAGCCTGGGGCCCCGCATGCTGGGCAAAGCCCTGGGCGTTCTTCCCCTGTACCCTGCTCTGATGGGGCAGCAGGAGTCAGCCAGCGCCACCCCTCTCCCTGGCACTCCGCTGCCCTGTGTTCAGCCCAGCAAACCTCCAGGTAAACTCATCACAGACTCTGAGCCAGCCAGACGTGTGCTTTACATGGTGCTGATCGCCTCCTCTGTTTTATATCAGTCTCTGGCTCATTGATGTTGGCAGTGAGGGAGTGACTCTGTCTCTGTGGTTGTCTGGAACAGGCAGATTTGATTTTTCTACTTGGGGACAGTATTTTGTCACAAACAAACGTCAAGGCTAAAGAGTAGCAGCAACATTTGATTCCATCCAGTATGCAGTATTTCAAAGGGTGTTGTGTGTTTATTTTTTGTGTGAATTTATAGTATTTCAAAATAAAGGCTTTAAAATTGGGAAGTACTACCTAAAACTTTTTGCTGCCTCACTGCGGCAGATCAACACTAAGTAAAGATGGCTGCTGACGCTCACTCAACCTTTATGCCTCCTTTTCGCTTGACAGTAGAGGCTTTACACTCTGGACATAATCTGTCCTACTTTATTCCTGCAGATTTTTTTTTTTTAAACATCCCTTTAGTGATTTGCTTCCTCATCAAAAGCTGGATTTGAATCCCCTCTCTTTATAGTGAAGGTGTAATGTTGCTTCTTTGACTTTGGGGAGAATGTGATATCGTCAGCAAAGGCTCATCTCCTCTGACACGTACACTCACTGTAGAGTGCAGTGGCTCTCATGTGCTGTTACTTATCCTGCAGAATGAACAGTGCAGTTGTACAGTAACAGCACTGTATTTTGGGCATGCTTTGATGCTCTGTCGACTGTAGGGAGAGTTCATCAATATGAACATATTCTCTGAGATGATAAAATCATCTCAGCAGTCAAATGACTCAGATTTAACCTCTTCTACTAAAGTGGCTGCTGTTTCCCTTTAATATCCAGATAATGAAGATACTGTTGCAAATCAACATACAGGACTTTTTTATGACAATATTTCATTTCTATAAAATGTATCAGTTTAATCGTAGTACTTGATTTTTCATGTGTTTACTTTCATGTACTATTATTTACACATTTAGAAACATTTCACCTAAATGTTCCTTCACAATATCAGATCACATTTACAGTAACAGAGTCTCACTCCATACTGTTGCTCAAATGTTTTTTTGTACCTTTTCAGTTGGGATTGATTTATTCAAAAAATGTAAGGAATCTCTGGAATTTAAGGATGCATTCACACAAACACTCATATCAGCTGAAATAGTCCTTTGTCTCTTGCTTTGAGTTTGCACTGTCAATGTTTATCTTCTCATCCAGCGAAACTAAATGTTTTAAATGTACATATGAGCATTGGACTCATGTCTGAAGATGGATTTGAAAATATGTAAACTTATCCTTTAGTCTAAGAATAAGCCTCGTGGTTTGTATTTATATTTGATCGCAACAAGGCTCCGTTTACACCATTAAGCTTCCTCATATGAGCTTTTAAACCAAATCATGCATATGGAAAAACTTTTGCCATCATTTTTATTTTAGAACTGGCAGAACACACCAAACCACAACAGTGCGGCAAATAAGACAGAGATGTTTTAACATAATAAATAATTACAGCAACAATAGAGGAGGAAGACACAGCAGCAATTATAACTGAAAAGATATTCTAATGCAATGGACTGAAAAGGACATGTGGGAAAATCGAATTAGCATCACTCTCTAGACATGCAGAGAGATTAGGGCTCAGAGCTTTTGTTAAAAAGGATGTTGAACATTTTATATTTTCTCAAATATACTTGGATGTCATGATGTTTCTTCCATAAGAGTTGATTATTCGGCTCCTGAACTTTCAGCACACTGCTTCCACATTCCGCCTAACTCTGGGGAAATGATCAGGTTTCAGCTCTTCAGTTGGAGACAGTGTGTCTGTGGTGAAACGGAAGAAAAGCCGTCTCGGCCGTTTAGAACCTGATCTACACTATGTTGTGTTTCTCATGCTGTAAAATGTGCGTTCATATTTCTTACTTCCTCTCTGTTTCCTCTCTCCTCTTCCTCTCTGAACACCTCCCCAAGGTCTGGAGTCCTTGCGTGACAGTGCCCACTCCACACCGGTGCGTTCAGTGTCCCATAGTGAATCATTCATGCCGCGTTCGCGGAGCCAGGCCACAGACGCCAGTGACGGCACGGCGGTGATCTCGGACGAGGCCTACAGCCCCTCCGACAGCGTCCTGCCCACCCCGGTGGCCGAGCACAGCATGGACCCGGCTGTCTCGCGCCAGATCAACGGGGCACCCTGCAGCATCGAAGAGGAGAAGGAGTCGGAGGCGGGCACCCCCATGCGCGGGGAAGGGGGTGATTTTGGTGCGGACGGTAGATCCGCACAGGAGGGGGGGGACTCAGCCCTCAGCGAGGTGGAACAGGTGAATAAGTTTGTCTTAAGTGTCCTCCGTTTGCTGCTTGTGACCATTGGACTCCTCTTTGTCTTGCTCCTCCTCCTCATCATCCTCACCGAGTCAGACCTTGACGTAGCATTTTTACGTGACATCCGCCAGACCCCCGAGTTTGAGCAGTTCCATTACGAATATTTTTGTCCCCTCAGGCGGTGGTTTGCCTGCAAGCTCCGCTGGGTGGGCGGGTTGCTCATTAACAAGTGAGAGTGAGGTCGTAGCGTTCGTAAGCCCGTTCGGGGGTCTGAGAAGACGGTTAGGACTCCAGAGGGATGGAGGAGGGCGGCTTCGTCCCAACCATGAACCCTGCTTCTCCCATCGTCCTCCTGCAGACATACAGCTTGGACCACTTCTGCTAACACCAGGCCAGGATCTCTCTCCCCCTCCTCCACTTTAAGTTACTCCCCTCCTCAACATCCAACCACCACCTACTCGTTTCGCTTCTTTTATTCGCTTTTTCTTTCTTTTTTTTCTACAAAGCCAGAGGACATTTTTTTTGCATTTTTTAAATTTTATTTCAAGTCATTTCAGGTATTTTTATTTTTTCAAATAACATAAAGGAAAAAAATTAAAACTGAAACTAAAGAACTGAAGAATTTTCAACCGTCCCTTTTACAGGAACTGGAGATTTTGTCGCAATGGATGAACGTTGCCTTCAGTTATTATTTATTGCTGTCAAACATATATTTTCATTAGAAGAGGAGAAGAGAAGATGAGGTGATCGAGGAAGTTGTCATGAAAAGATGGAAGTGAGTTTGGTTAGAGTTGATAAACTGCTGAGATTCATATTTGAGGAAGAGTAATGTAAAAATCTTCTGATACTGATCCATCCCCATCAGACGACAGCTGGACAAACAGCAGGAAAAACTAAATAGGAATAATAGTGAAGGTTGGTGAAACAGGGAAAAGTCCGGGTGATTACCAAATGCCTTTTTCGAGAGGAAGTTGAAGACTGTTTGCCGTTTTGAATTTTGTGGATGGTTTTAAGACACAATTACACTTTAGTGTATTAGCGTGTACAAAGTTACTGGTGAGTTTTTTTCTAAGGCTATGGTAAAATAAAACCAGTACCAATAGTGTTATGTGACGCAGTCGTGTCAGATGAGGTTAGACATGTTCAATGAAGAGCAAAGATTCACCGGCACCAGTAGATAATAGTCTAGATAGATGTGCAATGCTCAGATGGTTTAAATAATGAAGAACTTTTAAAATGTCCTCAGTTGTTCAGTCGTTCTGTTTATTTCTCCGATTCATTTGATTTGCATTTTCTCATCAAGTTGAAATTCGATGAATTTCAATGATTTCTATGTATGGAGAGTTAATGATTTATTTTGGTTTCATATCAACCATGCTCTTAGGTTTATGTATCATACTATATTATTATTATTACTAGAATGAGAGTAACGATGTACTTTTTGTACAAATTAGTTTGTTTCCTAATATATATTGAGGTTTTCCATGTATATTTTAACAGAACTGAAATGTTATTTTGTTATTGAAGATTAAATTATACTTTTTTTAGCACTGTGTTTCAAGTAAGGTCAGAAGAATTCACGTAAATGAGGAAGTGTTTTTATCCAGATCCACTGATCACAACTCTCATCCCTTGACCAGCAGTGAACCAGTTTTAAACATGTATTTTTACAGTAACATATGGAGATATCATTATACTACATATGCCAATATACCAAATAATCCAAAATCATATATTCACTTTCATAACACTAACATTTCTTACTGTACTTGAAGAGTTTGTAGAGGTGACATGAGCCTGACCAGTGACACAGAGTCAGAGCAAAACAATTAAAACTTCCCACTAAAAATTCAGTTGAAATTTTAAAATTCATTATATTTCTAAAATTGTATTAATTCATTTAAATGTCTAAAACTATAGCTGAAGCTGATTCATTGATTGAGTATTGATTGAGCATAAACTTGCATTTATTTTGAGAATTTCACAATTATTTCAAGCAAAATTCCAGAAAAAAAAGTGTGAGGATTTTCTGTTTTTTTTAAATTACAAAATGTATGTTTCTATGACAGAATCCAAATGATTAATTGATGATCTCAAACTTGGCAGATTCATTGATGAATGAAACTTTAAAATTTTTTTCCTAACTTGCAAGTAACGAGAAGAAATGGGCATTTAGTTCATTTCTTCCCTTTAAATTTTTTTCTATGCCACCAGCAACAATAACAGTAGATATCACTATATTTATAATAAGCCTATCTTCAAAAATATTTTTTTGATTGGTCGGTCAGGCTCTGGATTTGTTAGCCTTGTAGTTCCAGGGAGCAGTTACCACTCCTGACTGCTGGATTCTGGGTAAAAATCTGTTGTGCTGTGTGTTTACCTCCTGTACCAAGTGCAGGTTGTTAAGTGTTATTGTGTTTGTAAGAAGGAATGGAAATTGAGGTGACAGCTGTTGACATCCAGAAAGAGAAGAGAAACTAAAAAAGTCAAATTTCCATATTTTGCTATGAAAGGAGGAGGAAAATTGGAAAGGCGTGAAATGTAAGCGAGGACTGAGGGAAATGAGATGACCAGTCTGCTTCTTTGAAAGTGGGATTTTAAAAAGCGTGTGGTGACTCACCACTCTAATGGCTGTACAGGGTTGCTTGTCTTGCTTGTCTTGCTTGTTTTTAGTCTATTTCAAACCCCACATCCCGACTGCACCAGCACCTGCAGCTGCTGCACAGATGCAGCCCAGACGGTGCTAAACCTACTTCTGTATTTGTAATCCGAGCCTGTCAGTCCTCGGCTACAGTCTTAGCCCTGACCGCAGAGCAGCCTGCACTTTGGCGTTGTGGCTGGATCCACTCCTCTGGCTCGTTATCCTTTACAAACCATCGTTATCTGTGGTGGAGGGAGCAGGCAACATCTGACCATTAGAGCAGAGCTGGAAAGCAACCAGTCATATGTAGGAGCTTATTTATATCAAATGAACTTGGATCCATTACAGCAGATGCAATGATAAAGCACAGCTCTCCCAACAAGGAGTGAGTGAGTGTTTTTTTTTGTCATAATTAATATTTATTACTTCTTTTACTGATATAAAGGTCAAAGTGACTTGGCCAGTGCAGCCAGGCCGAGTTGTTAGCAGGACGTCTTTTAAAGATCAGTGTGCAGAGGTGTTTCTCATCCATCAGGACAGGTTTACACATCAGCCTTATGTAGCTTCTCTGAACATGCAACAGTTTCTAAAATCAAAGGCAGCATTATTCAAGGAGCAATAATCCGCTGTAAGAGCAAAAAGATGTGATGTTAAGTGTTTGGAAATCCAATGGTGAATTATGTCCTTTTTCTGTCTTGGAAACCACTTTTACCAAATTGCTGTACTCTTAAAAACCATGTGACCACTGAGACACTTAGTTACAGCTGCGTTCAGTTATGACATTTTATAAAAATCCTTTTCCCCTTGGAGATGTCTCGTGTGGCTGTTTGTTTTCTTTACATCTTTAAGTGACAGATTGTTCTCCATGCCCGTGCCTGGATCCTGACAGTTTTACCAAAGTGGCAAAGATGAAGGAATGGAGAGCGAAAAGACACAAACGTCCACTATCAACTGTTCTCCACAAGACTCCGTCTCCCAGGCCGAGAGAGATGGGGGGAAACTGTGTTCATCTCTGTCTGGATCTGTGAAGGACGCTTCATTCACAGTTCATTTACACTTAAGTTGCTGTGTCATGTTTACATGTTTTCTTTTTCTTCACGGGAGATGGATTCAGGTTGGGCCACATGTGTGAACTGATAGTCGAGTTTCAATGTCATCCATGGTTTATGTAATAAATCCCTCCGTCCCCCTGAAAGCAATAGTGAAGGCAAAAACTGGCATTTGAAGATGAAGCACTGATAGAATTAAAACAAAGTGGATGGAGTCAATAATAAAAACAAGTGCATGGTATAGTGTAATTCCTGAAAACAAAAGTCCTGTGTTTGCTTCAGGGGCAGCGTTGCCAGATGGCAAATGTGAAGTATCTGAGTCTTTAAGTTATGTTATTCAAGTTTCATTGGCTGCCCTTCAAACTTCATGCGATGGAAGTGAATTACTAAACTAATCTGGATGATCAAAATCAAGATTTAGACACAATTGTCTCCTTGAATCTTGTTTGTGGCATTAGTCTGTCACATCAAAGTGGATGTTTGTAGCACCGAGGGGTTTATGATGAGTGACGACATAGACCAATCCCTCACACAACCGTGCATATACTTTACTCAGTGTAACAGCATATCCATGTCTGGTGGTGTGTTGTCTACATCGTTCTATCCTGGGATTGAAGATTGCTGTTTAATTACGTTTTATAAATACATATCCACAAGTATATATACACATCTAAATATATATAAATCCATGTGCCAAATCCAGCTCTTGTTCAGTCTGATCCATTCCGAATCCATTTGTACTGTAGGTAACCTTCTGTACAAGTCAGTATAATACATTGTTTCTCTCCAATAGTCTCATGTAACTGGTGCCATTAAATGAAACTAGTCAAACATGAAATAAACATTGAATTTAAAGTAAAGTGATTCTGTGGCTTTTGTGGAACAACACAAATTCAGCACAGCATGCTTTTCTCAAGCAAAAATAAAATCGTTTGAATGTTGACGACTGGAAGCAATAAATGTTATCATTTGACTTTAATATAAAAAAATTAAGACAGACAGTAAAAAACGTGTTCAAATACAATTTTACACCAACATGAAAACTGTACAGAATGTAAATATACAACAGGATAAATACTTCAACCACTGACACCAGCTGGTTTGAAATGTAGTGAATGAGTAGTTTCTCAGACAGTTCTAGCCCATGTGTGAGAAAGTTGGCTTTAAGAAAGGTCGTTGTCTGGATTGAGGGGTCGGGGCAGCCAGGAAGCCCGGTCTACTTCCTGATGATGCATCGCCTGCTGAGCTCCTGGACCCTCGACCTGCAGCCTTCGCTCCACCTCTGGAGCTCGACGATGACCATGATTTATTGCTGTTGTAGCCGTGACTAAAGCCACAGAAAGACAGAGGGGAAGTTAAGAAAATAAGGTTTCAGCTTTGAAGCAAATCTTATTGCAAAATATAAAATGTGAGACAAACGATACAGACCCTTTAGAATTGGAGCTTGCGTTGCCGTATCCTTTTCTCTTCTTGGAATACTTGAAGAACGGAGCTTTCTTCCTCTTCTGTCCCTGTGAGGACTGATTACGAAAGTAGGTGGAGGACTCTGTGTTGTCCTCATCTTCGTAATCTATATTTGCACGGCCTCGTGTCGTGTCTATCCATTCATCTTCACCACCGCCAGTCGGCTCCTCTACAGAAACAATGTAGATTAATTCAACAATGTGCAAGATTAGGGTTTTCACACCAAGGTTTACGCCATTGTTACATTGTTTACATTTGGTTTTGTTAGTTTTGCTTTCACTGATCATAGATCGATTTGTAGTCGGGCGTGTGTCTAATGTCTGCGGCGGGTAGTAGTCTTAGTTTGACGGGAGAAAATGAATGAACTGGTTCATTTCATTGCTGCTGTAAAATCTTCATGGTATAACTACCAGCAAAATGAATGTCCTCATTGTTCAAATGTTATATTGTCAGAGGAAAGACTGCAAGCAATCCTACAAGCCACTTCCTTTTCTTCTTCTATTGTCTACCGCCATCTCAACTTCCTGCCTCTGGTCTGAAAGTCTGAACTATCGAACAGTGTTTTCACGATGCAAACCAACCGAACCATTGAACTCTTTTGATCCTATGAAATGTGTTTGTTGGTCTGATCAAAGACAAATGTGGTAAGGTCCGGACCAAACAAGGTAGGTGTTAAAGTGCCCTAAAGAAACTAGTAAAGAACATGGGGTGCGAAGAGTTTAAATATGCAAATGCAACACTTAATGTGGGTCATTTACCAGGTAGCTGCCACTCAGAGTATTTCTGTAGGACCTGAATGACTTCTGCTCCATACTTCTCCAGTTTGTCCTCTGTTACTCCATCGATCTGCAGGAGCACTTCAGCGTCAGCGGAGAGCTTCTCTGACATTTGGGGAGACAAAGGATGAACAAGTTCATGCTGGTTGTATCATATAAGCTGAAGTGGTATTTAAAAGTCAACAACTGTTTCAGACATTACCAGATATATTTTTCAAGGTGGCTGTGGAGAAGATGTTGAAATAGTGAATGCCAAACGCTTTCCCGAGCTGCTTGCATAAATCCGTCAGCTCCTTCAGACACTTTTGAACCATCTCTTCTCTCTGAGAAACCTTCTTGGCCACTGCAGCTTTGTGTTTCCTGATGCTTGATGCACTCTCCGTCTCATAGAACTCCACCTATGTTAAGTGATGTTTATTGTTCAGTGCCTTGATTGATATTTAAGTCTTCATTAAGCATCGAGTCATATTCTATCTCTTCAAACTGCCTTAAAGTAGATGCATGACTGGGACCGATTACCTGCATGTGTCCCGACAGCACGTTCATGGCTTTTGTTCCAGCAGAGATGTAAGACACAGCTTGACCGTTGAACGTGATGTACAGGTCCTCGACCAGAACGTTATCCAGAACCAGTTTTTTGAAGAGACGGTCAGCGTTGTGTCTGGAGTAGGCTCCTCCCATCCCAAACATTCCTGTCTGCACCTTTGCAGATTTAGTTCCTGACAAAATATACGAGAACATATTAACCATTACCACTATGTCTTATTACAACATCATGCAACATCCATCAGTTACAAAAGATGCATTTTCATTGCAAGCACAAACATGTACTGTACCGAGGAAGATATCCACGAGCATGTTCAGCGTCAGCCGGGTTTGCTGAGCAGTCTTGCCAAACTTCGCTCCGACTTTCTCGCAGTTCTCCTGAACGAACCTCACAATCTTTTTCACATCTTCAGTAACATTTCTTATCTTGTATTGCTGCGGACATGAATATTCATATTGTAGATCAGCTGGAAACAGGCAGGCAGGTTTTGAATATGAGATAAACGATCAGAAACTATTCCTACATTGGGTTTTGCACAGTTGTCACAAGTGACGTCAGGGTGGTCTTTACAGAAGCTTTTGTTGAACTTGAGCTCTCCAAAGTAGGCGAGCAGCTGAATTCTTCTACACTCCATCATGTTCTCGCAGAAGTGTACCATGCTGTGTAGGTTGTTGAAATGAGTCGCTTTGGCATGTCTGTCACCTTCTCTATCCACTGGGAAAAAACAGATTACAACAAAGTCTACATGAGGAATACGTACAGTTAGTCATTAGGAAAGTAAACATGCTTTGGGTGATTTCACAGGTGTAAGATAGCTGTGATTTCTGCCACATACTGCTGATGATCCTCTTGATGCGTTGCACATCAGTGTAGGTGTAGAACAGAATACAGTGAGACATCTCTCCGTCTCTGCCGGCTCGTCCCGACTCCTGGTAGTAACCCTCCACTGATTTCGGCAGACTGGCGTGGATCACATAGCGCACATCAGGCTTGTCAATGCCCATGCCGAAGGCTATGGTGGCACAGATGACCTGGCAGACAAAGGGGAACAGTGAAACCAAAGCAACGTGCAATTTGACTCATAGCCTTGTATCAACTCCCACCTACGAGTCATATTTATCTGTGGTTGTAATTAAGTGGTGACCTCACCTGGCAGCCATCCTGATTGATCCACTTGCTCTGCACATACTCTCTGTCACTGTCACTCAGGCCCGCGTGATATGCCAGACCTAATATCCCCGCTCTCTGGAGACTCTCCGCCATGGCATCACAGTCATTACGGGACAGGCAGTACACAATGCCAGAGTCACCTGAAACGCACAGATAGGCAGCTTAATAATTAAATTCAAAGGGGTTTCTAATTATTGACAAAATATGTCCCAGTATGACTATCAAAAGCAATTAAGCATTTGACAAAAATATTAATCAAAAAACGATTTCCTCACTGAAATTCTGCTTCAAAACAACTAAAACCTTTAATGTGCAGGAAATATTTTCTTATGTGTCCATGTAGACATCTGAGCTGAATATTTCCAAGTGTTCTGAAAATAGCATGAGGAGGGATCAGAAAAAAGTAATTCTGAATTATTTACGTGGGTAGTGCTTCTTTATCCAGCTGATGCAGTCCTCGTCTACCTTTTTGGGTTTCTTGGGCAACACAGCATATTTCAAGTTTGTTCGGTTGAAACTCATCGTAAACCTGGAAATATATTAGACAGAAAATGTGTAGTTACTGTTGAGTGAAGAGAAGAATCTGAGACAGAGCCTGAAATCAAAACACCTACACCTGTGGCCGAGTCATATTCAGCTGGTTGAGGATATCTTTCTGGACACGAGGGGTGGCGGTGGCTGTCAGAGCCATCATCGGCACGTTGGGGAACTTCTGCCGCAGTTCATGCAACCTCTTGTAGTCTGGACGGAAATCGTGTCCCCACTAAAAAAATTAAGGTCAGAGAATGATTCTTAAGGGCTGC